GCACTTTCGCCTGGCAGTACTAGGGTCGTTGGTTTGAATCCCCACCATGGCACCACCTGCCTGGAGTTTGCATGTTCTCCATGTGCCTACGTGGGTACTCCAGTTTCCTCCCACACTCCAAAGACATGCTGGTAAGTGAATTGGCTCCTGTCTAAATTGGTCCTAGTATGTGTATGTATGTGAGTTAGGGACCTTAGATTGTACACCCCTTGAGGGTTAGGGACTGATGTGAATGTACAATATATATGTAAAGCGCTGCATAATTGACGGCGCTATATAAGTACCTGAAATAAATAAATAATAAACTTTTTTTTTCCTGGTGACCTTCTTTAACTTCCTCTCCCCTAGTGACAATGTTTAGGCTTTAATTGTCTGCCTTAGACACAGCATGCTGAATTGTGAGAGGCTGGAAGGAGTGTTGTGTTTTCTTATTCTTGAATGCATGAGTATCTCTTGGGGCTGTAGTAGTGACTGGCAAGTACTGTCTGCCCATGCTGTCTCCTGTCTAGTGCTCTGCTTAGTATGGACATTTTCACTTTAATTATTGTGCTTCATAACTGGACTTGGTTAGAGGTTTTTTTTTTTAAGTTAATGGTTTAGTTTGGGTCATTTATTACATCTAGAAACTTAGATCATTGGAATGTTTGAATATTGTCTTGTGTCATTCCTATAATTTTTTCTTTAGCTTGACCGGTGTTTTGAAAGGACCAGTCTGATAATTTGGAAACATCCTAAGCTACATTCCAGAGAATGTTTCAGTTGCTGTCCCTGCATTAACAGCTTCTCACCATACACACTGCTCAAGCCAGACAATTTTCTCAAAATATTTGTCGTCTCTAAGTGGAAAAGTGTAATAAAACAAATCATTCATACAAGCTAATGATTTCTCCATATTTTTACATAAACGAATTATAGCTTAATGCCAGACAATCAGTTTTTTTTTTTTTAAGACATTTCAGCCAGTAGCAGGATTTTCTTGAGTTGTCAGGTAGAATTGCAGTTGAATGCTTAACTATTAACTTCATTCCCTTTAAGTCTTTCTGAATGTAGCATGGAATGTAGAGTGAAAATTGTTTTTTTGCCAATTAGTTTAAAATACCTTCCCTTTTTCTGTAGTGGTGTGGAGCTTCTAATCATGAATATGTTAAAGGTAAACTCCAGCCTTGCATGGTTTTCAAGGTTCATCTCTTGTACTGAAATAGTTTACTTGGGTTTCACAGCGGAGTACCTCATCGTGTGCATTACAAGCTTCAGCAAGTCAGAATCTAACTCATTCTGTGGCTGGAGAATGTCCAGCACCACCCATATCTTTCTTGCTCAACTTACCATCTCTGGCCTGCCCATTTCATTAATTGGATCACAGTTTTTATTTATTTTAAATCGTGGAGTTTTAGGATCACATATGGGCATTAGAGAGTGTTTTGCATGCAAACGCAGCCTGCCTAGGAATGCCCCTTCTCCAGGCTGACATACACCCATCAAAGCCCACTGCTAACCTCCGGGCCGAGAACTTTTGAGAGGAGTACTTAGGCAGGGTGATGGGATTTTTTCAGGAAACTATGGACAACTCTTTGATGCCCCCCCACCAGCCACAATCTGTTTGTACTGCCTATGGAGGAGCATGGGGACCCAGCAATGATGTTACTGGATGTAAAGTTATGTAATAGAAACAGCTTTTATTTAAACATTTCATTAGCATGTTGACAAAGTGGTGAAGGAGGACTTAGGGAAGGCAAAATATTAGACCAAACATCAGCTATAAGGTTCAAGCCAGTGTGAATAGACTAAAAGTACAACTAAACGCTTCTATCTAAATAAGTACCAAATCACAGTGGCAGGGTTTCGGCAATGGAGGCAGTGCTGCCAAATCAAGGAAGCAGTGGCCAGGTTTAGATTGACAAGCTACAGACCTGTGAATCGGCAGTAACAATCCTGATAGCAATTGTCCCCTGCAACATCTCATCCCACTTTAGAGCAAGCAAACATAGCTTCATTAGAATGACAACTCTGCTGTGAATTTAGGAGCAGTGCAGTATCACCATCACAGGAAGCTGCATTAGGTGGATTTCACTGACAGGATTGCCAGGTATTTGTGGAACTTTGTAGGGTGACTTAGAGAAAATGGTGAATGCAGAAAGACATGTAATAGGAGGATGAAGAAGGATCTACTGTATGTCTGAATACTGCAGAGAAGTGTTTTTTTATAGCAAATCTGACAGTTTTGGTTGTTATATTTGTCATCGAGCCTACTTTGTCACTCTCATCAATAGCTTGTCATCCAGTCCTCGTCGTCTCTTCTCTACTTTTGACTCTCTACTTTCTCCACTTCCACCTCCACCCAGCACCTCACTCACTGCTTATGAGATTGCAAATCATTTCAAAAACAAGATTGATGCAATTCGTAGGGGCATCTCTACTGCACAGACATCTATCCCACTTAGCATACCGTGTACTAAACCTCCCTCAACACTTTCCACTTTTGACTTTGCTACTACTGAAGAGGTCACTAAGGTTTTCTCAGAAGCCCGTCTCACTACCTGCCCCCAGGATCCTGTCCCCTCACAATTACTACGGTCACCCTCTTCTATCCTATGCTCCCTCACATCTTCAATCTCTCCCTCTCTAACGGTGCCTTCCCCTCCCCTCTAAAGCATGCACACATCACTCCCATACTTAAAAAGCCCTCCCTGGACTCCACCAACCTGAACAACCTAAGACCCATCTCCCTGTTCCCGTTTACCTTGAAACTCTTAGAACGCTTAGTCTACAATCGCCTGAGCTCCTACCTCACTGACAACAACCTTCTTGACCCTTTACAGTCTGGCTTTTGCTCACTACACTCCACTGAAACTGTCCTACTAAAACTCACTAATGATCTACTAACTGCTAAAACCAATGGCCACTACTCCGTACTCTTACTACTTGACCTCTCTGCGGCTTTTGATACTGTTGACTATCCCCTCCTCCTCAAAAAACTCCATTCTCTTGGCCTCCAAGACTCTGCTCTATCCTGGTTCTCCTACCTATCACAGCGCTCCTTAAGCGTTACCTGCAACTCTGGCTCCTCCTCCTCCACTCCCTCTTTCTGTAGGGGTCCCTCAAGGTTCTGTCCTTGGACCCCTTCTCTTCTCCATCTACACCTCCTCCCTTGGTCACTTGATAAACTCCCATGGCTTTAAGTACCATCTCTATGCTGATGATACACAAATCTATCTTTCTACTCCTCACCTCACCCCTTCAGTCTCCTCTCGCATTACTAACATACTACTAAGTGACATATCGGCATGGATGTCACTCCACTACAACAATACAACCATCAGTCCCTCCCCTCATGCCAGGGTACTTGGTGTAGTCCTAGACTCCCATCTGTCCTTTCAGCCCCAAATCCAATCATTGTCCAAATCATGTAGACTTCACCTACGCAACATCTCCAAGATACGCCCATTTTTAACCTCTGAAACTACTAAGCAACCTATTCACTCCCTTGTTATCTCTCGCCTTGACTATTGTAACTCCCTCCTCAATGGCCTACCACTTCGCAGGCTATCCCCTCTTCAGTCTATCATGAATGCTGCTGCCAGACTCATCCACCTTACTAACCGTTCCGTATCTGCCACCCATCTCTGCCAATCCCTTCACTGGCTTCCCATTGCCCAACGGATAAAATTCAAAATTTTAACAACATATAAAGCCATTTGTAAAACTGCCCCAAATTACATCTCCAATCTTGTCTCCAAATATCACCCAAACCGTACTCTCCACTCCTCGCATGACCTCCTGCTCTCTAGCTTCCTTGTCGTCTCCTTCCATTCTCGTTTCCAGGACTTCTCCAGAGTTTCCCCCCATCCTCTGGAACTCTCTACTCCAATTTATCAGACTATTTCCTACTCTGCTCACTTTTAGGCGATCTCTGAAAACCTATCTCTTCAGGGAAGCCTATCCTGCCCTCAGCTAATAATGGAATCTTCTACTCCTCCTACCTGTCCATCCCCCACAGTTACTACCTTTTGTACCACTAGCCCCTCCCTCTTAGATTGTAAACTCCAAGGAGCAGGGCACTCTAAACCCTCTTGTATTGAACTGTATTGTTGCTGTTTTGTCTCCCGTTATTTTGTAAAGCGCTGAGCAAACTGTTGGCACTATATAAATCCTGTATAATATAATAATAATTCTATATGATGCTACATTGCACTTTGTGTTTCAGGTTGGTCTGGCATGAAAAAACATTACGTTTAAACCTTTCACTGACAAGCTGACCATCAGATGAAAGTGACAGTTGCCACACCCTCCCAGGACATTAATCCCTTCCCCCTCCCAAGCTCCTATTCACACCCCCCACAAACACATGCACATATGACTGTAAACATACGTGTCGGGGCATGTATGTAAAAAAAATTTGTAGCTCTACACATATTGCATATCGCTGCATATGCCAAAGTGAGCAAAAGGGCCAGGGCCATTATTCATTGTTAACTCTAAACCAACGACCTGTAGGGGCTTTTAAAGTATCACCTATAGAAAATGTAAGTTACCAAAGTTTACCACTGTTTCCTGGGCACACATGGGGCTTGACATGTTGGGTACCTATTTACTCACCGGAACTGTAATATTTTATATTTTTCCAAAAGTGGGTAATGCATTTTTGTGTCCTTAACTTTAGTATATTTATTACTGAAATGTTGTTAAACATTTCTTAAAATATTGCGCTTAATATTTCATGACATAAAACATTAAGACTACCACCATTTTATTCTCCATGGTGTCTGCATTCAGAAAATGTGTGGGGAAATAGTCTTCAAGGCCAAAATGTTGTTGTTTTTTTTTTTTTTTTTTTTTTTTCAGTCTGTGTGCGCAAAAAAAAAAAAACCCCACAAATGGCTCTGGGTTAAAGTTGAAAGGATTAGTGTATTGATACCCAAACCTATTGTTTTTCATTTTGGATAGAATGAATAACCTCAGCTCTTTTTTTACATGAATAACTACCTTATTTTCTCTTTTAGATTTGGTCTTAGCAACAAATTTGAAGCAGAGTTTCCATCCTCTTTAACTGGCAAGGTATGGATGCAGTTAATATTAAATACATTTTCTTGATGTTGATTGATTCAGGGACAATTTTCTAATGACAGTTTGTTTATACACCTAGGTAGCCCCAGAGGAATTTAAATCCAGCATTAACAGAGTCAACAGTTGTCTTAAGAAGAACCTTCCAATTAATGTCCGCTGGCTGCTGTGTGGATGTCTTTGTTGTTGTTGCACATTAGGGTGCAGCATGTGGCCAGTTGTGTGTCTTAGTAAAAGAGTAAGTTTTTTTTTTATTTTTTTTTCCCCCTCAGTACTCCCTTTAAATGTGTTATAAGCCAGATTCATACTCGCTGGTGTTTTCTAAGTGTTTTCTTTTGTAGTCACTATTTCAGAACAGTGGTGTATGGTTGAGAAGGTGGATTAGAAAAGGTGCTTCTGTTGGTACCCAGAAGTGACAGTGCAGTCTGAGGAGTCTGAACGGGAAGAGTGGCAAAGTTTATACAGTGCCGTAGGGTAATAGTGGAGTAAATGGGTCCAGCAGAGATCCACGTGGACAAGCATAGACAGGAAATAGGAGGGCAAAAAAGTTAGGTATGCTGGTTTAATAATGGAAGATAGTTCAATCAAGCCACTTCTGCTCAGGATGCATTGTGATCTGTAGTGTCTAAGGAGGGGGGGGGTTGTGACATAAAAGACAAAAATGGAGAATTTGGCTCATTGGAGGGTAGGTAAAGGAGTTTTTTTTTGTTTACTTTTGAGGCTTGGCATCACATAACTAGATTTGAGACTTGTTTAGGGCAGTGGTGAGCAACCTTTTTTTTCAACTGAGCCAAATCTCGCCAAAACCACGATTGAAATTTATTTTGAGAGCCACATTTTTAAAACTGAAAATACATCCCCCCTATAGTAATTCATCCCCCCTATAGTAATTCATCCCCCCTATAGTAATTCATTCCCCATATTGTGTCAATTCACTTACCTTTGCTCCGCGCGTTCCTCTCGCCGTGTTCCCGCGCCGTTCCGGTCTTCAGGGCGGACTGTGAGAGGAGAGGAGTTCGTCGCGCTGCCCCGCCTACATCCTGACAGCCAATGTTTGCCATGCTCCGCGGGCAGGATTAAAAGGTCCGCCGGGCCGTAGTTTGCCCATTGCTGGGCTAGCTGCAGAGTCCTGACTTTTGGGGCGGCCGCCCGAGAGGAGGGAGGGGAGCGGGCGCCCGGCACACAGAAAAGCCGCATTAAAGTGTGTAAAGAGCCGCGGCTTGCCGACCACTGGTTTAGGGTAATCTACAGGAGTTTTTTTTTTGTTTTGTTGCACCTGGCTAATCTGTGTGGATTTAGGTAGGTTATATGGGTAACCAATAATGCACCCAGCAGAACTTTGCCCAAATCATCACACTACCTCTTCAGGCTTGTCTTCTTGCCGTACACCCTGGTCCCGTCTCTTCGCAAGGTAGGTGAAACACGCACTCGGCCATCCACTTGATTTAAAAGAAAATGTGATTCAGCAGACCACGCCACCTTGTTCCATTGCTTCGTTGTCCAGTTCTGATGCTCACGTGCTCATTGTAGGCTTTTTTTGGCTGTGGACACAGGTCAGCATGGACACCCAAACACAGCAAACTGTAATGCCCATTTTTTCTGTTTTAGCTTTAGCACATCGTTGAGGACAACATGTTCACTTGCTGCCTAATATATTCCACCGACTTTCAGATACTATTGTAAAAAAATGATCAGTGTTATTCACTTAACTTGTCCGTGGTCATAAAGTTAGAGCTAATTAAGCCGCGTACCGTTCAAGCTAAGAGCTGTATGGAGGAGTGCTCCATGACAGGATGAGAGCGTGCACAGAGAGCCCGCACCTCCTCCCGACTCTCCCCTCTCTGCTGCTGACACTTTTCTTGTCCCCTGCCCCTTGTCCTGGCCGAGTGTAGGGATTAGGGGGAGAAGATCAGCAGGCACAATGTCCATAGTGGGGGGCTGGCCTGGAGGGCACAACTGAAATCTTGGGGGGCGCAGCCCACTCCAGCATGCCCTAGATCTGGCCACAATCGGCTGCCCGCTGCCTGGAGCTGCATGCCCGCCTCCAGTGGTGGGGTTTGCGTGCGCCTAGTGCCAGTGGTGGGTGTGTTGCTAGGACACACTTTCTAGTCACTGTGGCGACCTGGCGTCTGGAATTTTGTCGATCTCTGATTTAAATGCAGGAATCCAGTTCTCTTGGGGGGGGCGGGGTAAGAACGGTAACCATTTAGTTCCGCTTCTTGGGCAGAAGGACATCTCTCTGTGTATTGCCATGTTTACAGTGTGCGATGTGCGTGAAGGAAAAGAGATGTCTTAATTTTCTGACTGTGAAGAAAATAACGGATAACCGAAACTAAGTTTGGAAGCAAATCTAAAAATGAGCATCAGTTGAGTTGCCCTCTGGCCCAAGAAGCTCGCACAGCTGAAACACATAGGCCAAAAAGGATCCCAGTTCCTACACTGGAGATCTTCTGAAAAAGTTATACAGGTGAATTCATGAAGAGTGTCTACAACAGGGGTGGGCAAACGTTTTGACTTGAGGGCCGCAATGGGTTCATATATTGGACCCGGGGGCTGGACTAAGAGTAGATGAATGATGTGTATGTGTCATCCATAGTAAGTATAGTAATATCCCCCCATAGTAAGCATAGTAATTCATCCCCCCTATAGTAATTCATCCCCCCTATATTAAGTCCCCCCTATATTAAGTCCCCCCTGTGTCAATTCACTTACCTTTTGCTCCGCGCGTTCCTCTCGCCGTGTTCCCGCGCATTCCGGTGTAGCATGAAAATCTGCCTCCTATGAGGATCTGTCCCCCTCAACGTATCTGCGCATGTGCCAGTTTCAGGCATTAGCAGCCGATCGGCGATCTCCGGCACATGCGCAGATACGTCGAGGGGGACAGATCCTCATAGGAGACAGATTTTCATGCTACACTGGTCTTCAGGGCGGACTGTGAGAGGAGCCTAGCTCCCCTCGCGTTCGTCACGCTGCCCCGCCTACACACATCCTGGCAGCCATCCTGACAGTATCACGCTCCGTGGGCCGGATTAAAATTAAAAGTCCGCCGGGCCGTAGTTTGCCCATTGCTGGTCTACAACATTCTTTAGAATTCCATCATGACAGAATAATGTACCTGTTGTAAACCCCACTGCTTGTTTTTCAATCACAAGGAGAGAGTGGGCTTAGTAGGGAACTAGTGTCTCTGCTTCCCCATCAGGCACTGTTAGCATCTCTGGTTGTCAGGAGGCGGTCGGCTCTGAAACCGACACCGGCGTTAACAACCAGTGACAAGTGGGAAGGGGGTAGTGGCGTCAAATATGTTTGCTATACAGAGACAGGCACTCTGCCTGTCCCAGTATGGCAGCCTAAATTTAGTCATTATTGCATCCAGTTTCGTTATCTTTGGCTTGTAGGTAATTATTAATTATTTCAGTGCAGTTTTACAAAGAGGCACTATTGAAAACTACTAAAATTTGCTGCATGTGTCATCAAAGCTACCAAAATGGGCAGCATGGAATCTGACTCAAGGGCCATTCTGTTAGAAAAATGTTGAAATTGCCCTATAGATTTGCAAGTACACTGTATTGCCAGAAGTATTGTGACGCCTGCCTTTACACGCTTATGAACTTTAATGGCATCCCAGTCTTGATCTGTAGGGTTCAATATTGAGTTGGCCCACCCTTTGCAGCTATAACAGCTTCAACTCTTCTGGGAAGGCTGTCCACAAGGAGCGTGTCTATGGGAATGTTTGACCATTCTTCCAGAAGCACATTTGTGAGGTCAGACAATGATGTCGGACGAGAAAGCCTTGCTCGTAGTCTCTTCTCTAATTTATCCCAAAGGTGTTCTATCGGGTTGAGGTCAGGACTCGGGCCAATCAAGTTCCTCCACCCCAAACTCATTGATCCATGTCTTTATGGACCTTGTTTTGTGCACTGGTGTGTCATGTTGGAACCAGAATGGGCCATCCCCAAACTGTTCCCGCAAAGTTGGGAGCATGAAATTGTCCAAAATATCTTGGTATGCTGACGCCTTAAGAGTTCCCTTCACTGGAACTAAGGGACCAAGCCCAACCACTGAAAAACAACCCCACACCATAATCCCCTCTCCACCAAACTTTACAGTTGGCACAATACAGCCAATCAAGTACCATTCTCCTGGCAAACTGCAAACCCAGACATGTCCATTGGACTGCCAGCATGATTGGTCAATCCAGAGAACACATTTCCACTGCAAGTCCAGTGGCAGCATGTTTTACACCACTGCATCAGATGCTTTGCATTGAACTTGGTGATGTAAGGCTTGGATGCAGCTCCTCTGCCATGGAAACCCATTCCATGAAGCTCTCTACACACTGATGTTGTGCTAATCTGAAGGCCACACGAAGTTTGGAGGTCTATAGCTATTGACTCTGCAGACAGTTGGCAACTTTTACGCACTGTGTGCTTCAGCATGCGCTGAATCCGCTCTGTCATTTTATGTATCCTACCACTTCATGGCTGAGTTGCTGTTATTCCCAGTTGTTTTTACTTTGTTATAATACCACTAGCAACTGACCGTGGAATATTTAGTAGCAAGGAAATTTCATGGATGGACTTTTTGCACAGGTGGCATCCTATGACGGTACCACGCTTGAATTCTCTGAGCTCCGGAGAGCGACCGATTCTTTCACAAATGTTTGTAGAAGCAGTCTGCATGCCTAGGTGCTTGATTTTATACACCTTTGGCCATGGAGGTGATTGAAACACCTGAATTCAATGATTTGGAGGGCTGACCCAATACTTTTGGCAATATAGTGTATGTATACATGCAATGTTTTTAGGTTGCAATTTCAGAGTTTCAATATTTAAAAAGAAAAAAAATCTGCTTTAACTACTTTGCCTCTCACACCTGTTCACCCTCTATGGACCACAGCAGTTTTTACATCTTTGTCATTACTAAAGACAACCAGGTAATATAAGTACTGTTTTTTTTTAAGGGCAAATAATACATTCTTTTCATGATATTGTCTTTCAACAATTTTTTTTGCAATCCTTTGACAATAAAATGCAACAAAACACTTTTTTTTTTTTTTTTTTAAATTGAGCAGTGTTGGTTAAAAAATACAGTATTGTTACTTCAGATAAAAAGTGCACATTATTTCTGTTATTTGCCCTGTTTAAAATGACCCTAAACCTATGATACCGGTACAAAGCATTGCAAAGGAATTTACAAACAGTGCATTTTATTTTTTTTTAATAAATTCTACACTTTTTTAAAAATGGGAAATGCATTAATATATGTTAAATGTGTAAAATATTAACACAAAACAAAAGTTTAAATATTAATGGTTAATAAAATAAACATCCGCAAGAAAATAACTGGAAAAGTGGCTGATTAGAGTAAACAAATGGTTAATAAGGGGTGAAACAGGAATATTTTTAAAATTCTTTACTTGCCGTGTTGCTATAACTGACATAATTTGTAGATCTAAGTTCATTTCTTTTGATCTACAAATGATTGAACAAAATTATACAAAAAGAACATTGTTACTTTGTATCTTTTATATATTGATATCTGGAGCAGTGTTTGTTTATAAATACTGATTCAGACTGCTTTCTTGACAGCTGAAACTGCCAACACTTTCTGAGTATACATTTATCCGGGCTTTGATTATTAAAACCAGCAATTGCTGTGTACTGGGAGGGGGAGTTCCAGTAGCAGGACAGAGACATTGAATGTGCTACACATATCTTGTGTACAATGTTAAATGATTTTGGGCCTGTCTAGCATACCCAAAGTCTGCAACTAGTTAGGCTGTGCCTTGACCTCCACACCAATTGGCAAATAATCCCATTGTGTTTTAAAATTTTAGACTGTTTACTGTATAAATCGTCAAATCACATACAGATCCAATGTGCAATATACATTCTTACAGAAACAGATTATCAGTGCCAGTAAATTTTTTGTATAAATTAACCCCTGAGGTGCTGAGGTCACTCATACTGTGGCATGTGGCATCACAAAGGTGGGCTTTCTTCCATGGCGCCATATATATATAATATATAGCAGCTTTTTTTAGTGGAGCGTAGTATGTCTCTGAAATATTAAAAATGAAGGCACAGTCGCAGTTTAGAAATTGCCCTTCAAATTTGAGGTGGCTAGAGTGAAGTTTCAATGAATGACAATGGGTGGCGTGAGTTGCAAACAAATGGTCATATTGTGAAAACTATCAGGACTATGGCTTAGCCGTGGACATTTTTAGTAGCAGCAGGGATAGCTGAACGTTTTGATATACGATTTGTGTAGGTGGGCTTGACGATGAGGGAATGATGGCAGTTTAGAAATCATGTCCTGATTTTTCAGCTCACACTCTAGCTTTTGTCAGCTCCCACCCTAGTTTTGAACATTCGGCCATTCATTCCTATGGGACCAATTTCACCACAAAAACGCCGATATTTTGTGAACCATTTGGCGAAACGTTCCGCAAAGTAATAGCACACCAATCGGGAACAATCCGCACGTTTCGGTATATTACTATCTATGTAGTGTAAAAACTGCGGGAGGAGTTAGGGTGGTAAAATTTGGCTATAATAATAAGAATATATATGTGAGATAACAGTAAGTGGTCTTGCCATGCCAGAACACTTAATAATCATAGTGCTATGATACTACTAATAAAATGGTAATACTAAAAATATATAAAATAATGAGAATGTAAACTAACAAAATCATGATTGAAATATGTAGTTCATTTCAGAATGACCACAGTGTATCATAAATATGCCAGGTCTTTTGGACCAAGTCAACATAGGCTCCCTGACAAGTCACAGAAATGTTTTTCAATGTGCATTACTTTTTACACTGTAAAGTTTAGAAATTGATTCAAGATTAGGATGTATAGAGCAAACCAAATTTTATTTTCCAGCCTTTTTTTTTCCCCACCCTTTGGAATTCTTTCACCATTTGGGATAATTTGATAAACTCTTTAGTATAACTAGATTTTCTCATGTTTTTTTCTGCTCTCAGTTTTTGAGCATGTTGCTGGTCTATTTTGACATCATTCATTTCACATTATAGCAGCATAAATTAAGTCTTTTAAAACTAATCCATGCATTTGCGCTAGAGGACCCAGCTTTACTTTTGTAGTTGTGACAATTAATGTGCCATTGTTGTGAGCTAAAAATATTACTCTCCAAGTGTCCCATTCTGGTTTTGTGTGCTGTCACCTGCCTTTCGCTGGGAACCAGTAATATGTCAAGTGTGCTGATTAATTGGGCTGCACGTGCAGGAGCTTTCTACTTTCACCTGTCACGGCTGAGAAAAATGAAATGCTTAATAATGTGTATTGCCACTTGATCCCAAGCGTTTAACACAGAATTACACATTTATGATGTAAGAAGAAAATACATGGTCCTAGTTCTACAAATTGAATCAACATATGTCTAATATTTTTGTTTTTTGCATCTTACTAACGAAGTGTTCAGTTTGTGTGTAAGAACGCTGAAGTTATTTGTAGGCTGTAAGGTTTTATATTAACCTGGTTTTTATGGAATGCAGGATTATTGAAATCACTGGAAATTAAAGCAGAAGCAGAATATTGACAATGACTATAATACATTTATCACTGTACAATTTAGATATCTAAGCTGTCCTTCACCTTTGATGCTTTAAAATAGAGTACCTTGAGTGTTCCCAATGCATTTCATTGTATCTGTTCATCTCAAAATCATGACATTTTTATAGCAAAGAGAGACAAATGAAAACACGGTGAAAGTTTTAAAGGGAAATGTGATATAACCTTATGATGCAGTAAGCAGGTAGTGCAAAAAGTAAGATTTAGGTATCTTAATCCTTTGCCATTGATTTAGCAGCGGGTGGGCAGGCAGATGCCTGTTCAGTGTAGAACCTATTGCTGTCTTACACCATTGATAGAGTAGCCTTTCAGAGTCAATGAGCTTCTGTCAATATAAGCTTGTCAACCCTACAACTTCATAGACTCAAGAGGTGGTTTAAGGGGTCAGCCCTTTTCAGGTTTGCTGTGATGCAAATGAACTGTAATGCTTAAACAACTATTGGAATTTTTATGTCTGCCCCTTGTTCTTTTTTTTTTTTTTTTCAGTTTTTTTTTTAAATTTTTTTTCTTCTTGCCCCCTTTTTTCTTTTTCTTCTTCGCCTTTTCTTTTCTTCTTTTTTTTTTTTTTCCTTCCTTCACAAAGTCATTGACGAGACATTCGGTGCTTTCTAAATTGGAAGTTGCATTGTGTTAAAGGCCCAGTACAGATTTACGGAGGGCTGAAAGCAGTTAGATCATGTTCTTTTCATGGTGCGATTAGAATCAAATCGATTTCCCTACAGCCTTCAGCATTCAGATGGCAATTTGAACAAAGCTTGGGGCTAGACAAGGGACAAAACGACTGAACTGAATGTTAATTACACTCCACAGCCTTATTTTCTTTTGATTTGGAGCTGACTGCCAACTAAATTAACACAAAGTGTGACCATAACTGCAGCCCCATTTTCATTTAAAAGGGACGCAGCCTCTAAAAAGGCGATCTTTACAAAAAAACAAGCAGGGTCCGCTGATCTTTGTCAGCTCAGGGCACTGTTTCACTTTGCAGAAATGCACAGATAATGAATGTAATAAATTTAAAAAGTGACACTTGCGTCTAAAGTAAACTATTAGGTTCCCACTCAAACAGAATGTCTCCCGAGAGCCCATGAGTCCTGTTTGGTTATTCATTTCAATTGAAGACTAATTGGTAATCAAGCTGATTATGTTTTTAGTACATGCTTGTGGTAATTATCTGATGGACTTAATTGCATATTTAAGTCTGGCCATGGAATATAAAAAATCAACTTGTTGATTTGGAAATCTTGCAAACTTTTCTGGCTCTTTGATAGCCGTAAGACTTAACATAAGAATGGTTTATTGGAGCTGCAGTCAGTGTGGTGCACTATACTGTCGTTTCTCATCCCTAACTGCAGCTGCACTTCGCTGCTTAAGTTAAGTAGGGGACTGAGCTGTCACTTTGCACCTGCAGTTGTCTCCTGCTACTAACACCTGGCATCATGATTTATCTGCTCTGGTCCCAGAATTATCTGCTAGATCGTGATTTTCATTTTTTTGCATTGCAGCTGAAGTCTTTTAAGCAAAGAAAAAAAACATAGTTTCACTCTAAAAAACTCAATCTGAATTATTTTAGTATGAGCTCAAGTATAACGTACTTTCAATTTGCAGCCAACTGTCCTAATATGACTTGAGTATAACAGTGCAATGCCATATATTTAGCTTTACATCAAAATGTTTTTATTAAAGTTAGTGATTTTTATCACTCTAAAACCGAGGATCTACCCTTGGAAAAAAACCTATTTAGCTACATAAATTGGTGTACAAGTTAGTGTTAAGTGTAGTACTTCAATGACAATCCAGATATATGTTTTGTAGGTTTGTTCTTAAGTTCAATTTGTGTGTAAGTTGAAACAGGTACATTTTTTCAGTGTAACTCCAGCCAAAAAAATATTTTTTTGTTTTTTTGATCGCATAGGGAAGGGTTCACCTTTCAGACAAAAATAATAAATGCAAATTTTTTTGCATGTAAAAAAAAATGTACATTTGTTATTTTTGTCTACAGGAGCCTGGAAAGCATTGTACCAATGACCAATGAGTAGATCGCTGATGCCATGCAGGTCTCCTGCAGACCTCTCAGAATATCTGCTTGCCTTACCCGTTGTATGAGCAAGCAGATATTCTGACAGGAAGCTTCAATGAACTACCAGGGCGCTCCACAGTGCCGTTTTAGTTAATTGAAAGCTACAATTCCACAGCCAGCTAAAGCTGTCGGACCTGCAGTTCATTCATTCATGGAAAACTGTGAATGAATGATGCAACCATGTGGGCGGAGCCCTGAATGGCCGCGCTGTTTTCAAATTTGACAGATAGTATGAGGAGAAGTCTCCCCATCTGTCAGAGGGAGGGAGGGGGGGCGTGGCGTGGTGGCTATGGGAACGTGTTACTTGTTCCTCCCTAAAATTGGGTGGAACATGTAACATGTTCCCAAAGGGGAACTTATCCTTTAACACCCTGTAACATTTGTTTTGATGTCTTTGCCCTTGTTCAGAAGATTTAATCTCCCTTTATGTCCTTGTGACAATTGGCTTTAGAAAATTTTGGGTTGTCGTGAAAACGAGGATCAAGCTTCATTGGAGACACCTTTTTCCCATGATAACTTTTACAGGAGTGAATTTCTCTTCCTAGGGGTAGATTTCCTCTTACTTCCTGTTGAGTCCCTCCGTTTGTAAGTATTAGTCATATGAAAGTCAGATGTATGTAACTCTGGGACTGCCTGTATTTCTTCTATCTGAACAAAGAGCAATGCTGAGGGATTAGGACTGCATACAGATTTTGCTCTGGGTTCTCTGAGTTGCTTGGCTATTCCACTCATGTTGTGATCTTTCTCATTATGATCCAGTTAGTATGGCTGGATCATATGTTTAATTCAATAAACCTATACACAGCATGCAGACTTTTTCATTCAAAAGAAATTGGAGCGTGTAACATGTAACGAAAAAAGAAAAGTAGTTAAATTGTCCCATGCGCTCAATGATTCAAATTGTTCTCCAGTGTCATGAAGAGCACTATAGATGTTTGAGAGTATAAGTTGACTTTTTAGGTTTGCCAGCGTCATCTTTGTATAAAACAATCTTTCTATATAGGTATACATAGATTGCAACAAGGAATTTGGATAGCTAGCTCCATTCATAGAAAGGATTGGTTTGACACTCAGCTGTGCATTTCGGAAAATGATTCCTGCATGTCTCTTTTGCTTATCAGTCTCCCTTTTAATGTTACTACTTTGGCTTCTAGCACAGCCACCTTCTTCTGCTGCAGATGTCAGTGTAACTCTCAGTTTCTCCTTACTTCATTTACTGTGCTGTCTGAAAGAGTGTGGGATGTCATGTAGATAGTATATTAAAATGGGATCCATAGGCCCAACTAGCAGCTTCAAGTGAAGCCTGCTCCTTCTTTAGGAAAACTATTTAGTACTGTATTGTTTTACATGCATTCTGTATGTGAAGGGTAGCAAGGAGATTTTTCTAGCTGGTTTTGGAACAAGGTGGCTTGGTGCACACTAGAGCGATACCTACATGAAAGACTGAAGTTCCTTATTTGTACCAGCACATTACTGGTGAACCATTTAAAGAGTAACATCCATTTGAACATTGTTTTCATTAAATTTACAGTAGTTCACTACAAAATTTGTGTTTTCTGACCTGGCCATGTATAACATTCTTTATAGTATTTAGTTAAAAATTTTTTTGTCAAGTGGCTTCCATTAACAGCCGCTCAAGAAAATAAAATTGGATAACAGTAATGGTGAATAGCTGTGCTGTTCTCTTTAAATAATAAGGTTGGGTGAGGTAATTTTCGGCTTGATAAGTCTTGTAATCAGACATAATGGGGTAATTACACTATGCTAAGTAATGCATTTAAGATGAATACATTTTGAGTATAGAAAATAAAATAAAGGAAATACTTATTTAAGATTTTCAGGTGTACTGTTTGAGATGCCAAAAAGAACTCAAAGCGACTTTTTCAATGAAATGAAGTTTGAAATTAAAGGTCTTGTAAAGAAGACATTTAGGGATCATTGAAAACTGTTGGCGCTGTATAAATCCTGTATAATAATAATCTCAATACAAATAAAGTCTGAATGACCACCTTGTAATGTATAAAAACACATAAAGAAAGAAAATACTTATTGAGACCACTAGGTAGGAGTAAAGGCTTTGACTTTTTTCATCCAACCTTGAATAATGAGGCAGTGCAGTAGGTTTTTTATATTATTTTGAGGACAACCCACATCCAGTCTTGATATATGAACAGGGAAAGGTAAAAAACTAGAAGGAATAGAAAAGGGAGCACTTTGTGGAACAGGGAGGTAGGGAAGGGATTTCTCTAAGGGAGGGTTTAGGTCAAGGAAAGCTTTTCTTTTCATTTGAGTTCCAGCGGATCACTCCATCTATGTGTCCTGAGAAGTTAACCCATATCGGGAAGGTCCAGCCAACCAGTTTAACATGAATTGATCATGAGAGTGCAACACTCAGCTCAAAAAGCAAAATCCTCCAATAGAACCAGGTTTTATAAAAATGTTCATTTGTGGTGTTTTCAGATGCCATAAATTCCTCCATGGATTTAATTTAATTGACCTTTTGCAACCAAAGACTAGTAGAGGGAGAGTCAATCTGTTTCCAATAAAGCGGTACATATGTCTTTACAGTGTTCAGCAGATGTTTCAAAAGGGAGTGCAGGTAGTGCTTCCTGTGGCAAAAGGGTCAGATGGAGGAGGATTGCTGCTGGATCATTACTCTAACAGCGAGTTAAGTAGAAATATGTTTGAATTGATCCTAAAAATCTACTAATAATCGGGTAAGACAAAAGAACATGTAGCATGGAACCCTGTTCATGTTGACATCTCCAACAGAGGGGGATTTTAAAGTGGTTGTAAAGGCTTCTATTGTCAGCTCCCCAAATGCCTACCTGAGCTTGATCTCGATCCAGCTCTGTGCCTGAGAGCAGCTGCCATTGGCTTTTGCTGTTGTCCGTTTAATTCAGTGATGAGGAAATGGAAGGCGGGATTGAGCTGCAGTGTGTCTGTTTCAGTGGACATATAGAGAATGGCTCAGGATCAAGCCTGCATGTGTGCCACCATAGGAAGCTGTTTCCTATGTTGGCACAGGGAGAAGAGGAGGAACCCAGAGCACCAGCAGGGGACCACAGAAGAGGAAGATCAAGGCTGCTGAGTGAAAAACCATTGCACAGAGCAGGTAAGTATTAACATATATTAAAAAAAAAAAAACATTTTTGTAACAATCACTTTAAAGCCTTTCTTGAATCCTACTTGTGATGAAAGCACTGTGTGCCATCTGTAGTAACCCATCTGGAGGACAGAAGTCAATGTTTATTTTCAATTTTTTTATTTATAGTGTAAGAATTCATGAAGAAATTTCTGATTATGGTTAGACTTTTGCGTTAGAAGAAGGGGTACAATGGTCTTTTGGGCAGTGTTTGTTTTTCATGAAATTATATTTGCTTAATACATCCATGTATATGAAAAATAAAATAAAAAAAAATATATATATCCAAAATTTAGTAGGATGGGGAATACTACAAACAAAAGTTATTTACAGTATGATTAATGGTAATTCTGGTTGTTGAGCGGATGTTTTTAGAAGTGAAAGTGTTTTTTGTTTTTTTTTTTTTTTTTTTCCTTTTTCTATCTTCTTTTTTTTTAATGTGGATTATTTTGTGTATGTTTTGTTCTCTAAACTCCCATTGGAAATCTGTACACAATTAGGAGTGATTTGGGGCTATTTAGTTACTTATATTATCCAAGCGAATCTTCTATTTTCCTGCGGGTAAATTCATTGCAGTAACTATTTAACAAGCAGCCCTCTTTGATGATGTTGCAGACCACCCCAGTCTTAGTCACTGTCCTGAAGCTTGAACCTTCTCATCCAAAATAAAAAAAAACAGCTGCAGAGTTTTCTCTTAAGCTACTGAAGGGTAAAATTCCTCCCCCCATTTGTCTTGCAGACACGAAGATCGATTGAGAAGTTATTGGAATGGGAAAACAATAGGTTATACCACAAGGTGAGTACCGCAGGGAGTAACTTCGCAGTGTTGAAGTCTGAATTGCACAGTATGGAAACAGATGCTTTTGTTAGGCAAAAAATATGAAAGGTGGATAAATGAGCTAATGTGTGCGCCGCAGTAAAATGGAGCTCATTTTTCTTCTTTTACTATCCCTCTTTTCCAGCTGTGCTTGCACTGGAGACTAAGCAAAAGGAAATGTGAAACCAATAACATGATGGAATATGTAAGTTAAAGGGCTGTTTTGTGAGTCTCTCTATTAAATGATCATTTATTTTGCCTCTGATCTTATTCTTTGCCTGATTATTAATCAGTAAAGGTGTCAAGAGCTTAATCACCCGAGCGGAAGGATTTTCTACGGTTCACAGATGCATGGGCTCATGGGTAGGGCTGATTTATAAAGTTATGAAGGACTGAGGACAAGTCTTCACTGTGCCATGAAAAAAAAAAATAATAAATTGCTTAAATAAAATAGCCCAGGCGTACATTGATGGGGTGTGAAATTTTTGATTCTGTATGAAGGATTAACACATAGTTGACTGCTCCTCTAGTCTGAAACTTGATTAGCATTATTCTAAATGCCCATATCTAACTTGAATAACTTTCTTTAATTCATCCAGGACATGAAGACAATTTTTTTAAAATCAGAAATTTAAAAATAAAGTGTGGAGTTGCACTGCATCTAGTTAACACATTCATTTTAGGAGCTATAAATGCCATAAACAATTTTGTTTTTCCTGGATCACAGTGACAAAAGCGCTGAGCAGTTTTTAGATTAAAATTACAATTTCTATGTAAATTTGAAGGTTTTATAGTTCTGCATTTGTTGTAAACACCATTTTTTATGTCACTAGGGTGTTTTACTCATAACACTCACCAAACATTCAGTTCTAATTTCTGATATTAAAAAAGAAAACCTTCACAGGTTGCTGGGTTTTTTTTTTTTTTTTTTTTTTTTGTTCCCCCCCCCTAGAGTATTTTTTTTTTTTACTTCCTACCTACAGTGGAGACAATGGTGACATTTCAAGATTGTGGAAAGAAATTTTGTACTAGTTTTTTTTTATGTGATTTGAAAGTCATTAAATTTCTACAGCACAGTCTAGTTTGTGTGCAAGTTAAAGCTACAGCTTTTTGTAACCTGCATTAGGATATAATCAGCCTATTTTTCTTAACTGTAGCCACATTGTCAATCATCCAGCGCTGTAGATCACATTCATAATTGACCACCAAAGTAAATGAAGTCAATATTCATAAGGAGCATTATGCAATAGACCCTTGACACAGTCATTATTTAGTTCCTAAAAGGCAATCATTAGCAGTAAGGCATAGTTTGTATTGTGTTGTTGCTATCAAAGGAACTCCTTTTTTTTGTTTTCTGTGACAAACATCCTGAACTGTATCACTTAAATGGTCAGTTAATAATTAGCTGGTGCTTATTTTAACAGATTTAGTGACCTCTTAACCATATGTTTGTATGCCTCTTTTCATACCTTATGGGTGTTGTTGTTTATTGCTCTAAAACACCCGCTGTGTAGTATCATTTAGTGGACTCTAAGGTTAAAAGAGTTTACGTTGTATTTGTTTCATTTGACCTTTTTTCTGGCTGTTTCCTTATAATTAAGTGTTCTGTTGCTTATAAGTAGGTTATAAATGTCTTTTTTTCCTAATGCCTATATGATTGATAGGCAGCAAACCAAAACCTTGATTAATGTATCTGTCTTCTTTTCACAGGTCATCCTAATAGAATTTTTACCAAAGACACCAATTTTTCGACCAGATTAGCAGTCTTTTTTGCACAAGTTTTTTTTTTTTTTTTTTCTTTTATTCTAGTGTTATGGTTTTAGTTTCTTTGTTCTCTCTAAGGACTTACTCAAATATCCCATATTTCCAATGGTGCCTTTCTTGGTTCTTCCCCATTGGTGACATAGTAATGAGTTTTTTTTTTTTTTTTTTTTTTTTTTATGGAAGGAGTTTAAACACATCTCACAAAATATACATTTTGTCCATGATTTGGAATCATTTACTTTTTGCTTTGTGATATTTATGTTGACTGTTTCATTATCCCCAATGTTTCACTGTTTTGGAACCAAGATGTAACTGCACCATTAGGAATTTGTATTTGCCTGGGAAGATCATCCTGTCAGCTGGTTCTGAAAAGGATGTGCTGAAATCATTGGAGCCAGTGGACATTCTTCATGGTTATAGAATATACCTGTGAAAAATATGTGTGCGGCATTTCACTGGAGCTCAGGACCATATGGTTGTGCTACCATGACACTTTAGTGCTCGTTTTGAGTTGGGTAACTTTCCAAATGACAGATTTGTTTACTCGCACAAAGTTGGTATCTTTAGCTGCTTTCTTGTCCTCACCATCACCCACTAGTTGGCTGCATCTCTCATTACATGGCATACAGACATTGAATACGTCATCACTTAAATTTTATTTTTGGATCACGTTGCTTGACAGTGGAAAAAGAATCCTCAAACTATTCCTTGTGGCACAATAAACCAATTACACAATCTTTATCAAATTGTTTTAAATAAAATATCACAATAATTTACTGTGGTGTCATCTTAAGTATGCTGTATTCTCAGACTAGTTATTAAACTGTGGTATATATGTAGCATTTAAATATAGATGCTCTATTTAAAACTATACTGACAAAATCTTTATTACCACTATAAGACAGCGCTTTAATTTTGCTCCTTCTAGGGTATGATACGTTGAAATTCCTAATCCACCTTGCAGATATATACATGCATTTGTCTATTATAGTGATAATTTTGCATTTATTTACCCCTTCTGTTTTTACATATATAGTTTAATTTTTGGTTATTGGTTTATTCTTTAAATTCAAGTAAGTCAAATTATGTTCACTATTAAAGGATGTATAGCCAGTACTAACACAATGTGGGTGTAATTTAATTGTGTAGAGAAAAAAAAAAAAAAATGATTTGTTTGAAATATTATATGGTATAATGTTTTCCTTGGTTACTTTTTTCTTTTTCCTTTCTAAGATGTGCATAACTGATGCTGGCAAAAGGAGTGCACTGAGTTTTATTAAGAAAAATCAGTTATATAGACACTCAAATGTCCATATGTTTTTGCTGTAAGATGCTTGGCCTTGTTAAGTTTTGTCATCCTATTTGTACATTATTAAAATGGGAGAATTAAATGAGGGAAATCTTTTTGTTTTTGTTAGAATTTGTGTTTTTTCACCTTGCGTACCTAAAACTACTCACACTAGAGTCTGATCTTATAATCTCATTTATATTCCCAACAAATCTGTACTGTGAGGGTCTACCTGGTTAGATAAGTATTGAACGGGTTTTAAGGTAAGCCCTCACACTATAAAGTTGCTGGAGGGCCCTGCTGCTAGGGTTGCTTTTGTCCTGGAGTGTGCTGTAAGAAGGGGAAAAAAAAGTGCATTTTGAAGAACCTTTTGTGTATATTGGTAATATTGCCTACAGCAACCATTCATATTCTGTTACCTTTTTACAGTAGAGTTTACGAAATCTGAATATTTATTGTACAAAAGTTGTTTTTCAGTGCACATATTTAAATTTTTATTGGTGGGCAAAGACTAACATTTATGCCAGGGGTGTCCGAACTATGGCCCTCCAGCTGTTGAAGTACTACAAGTCCCATCATGCCTCTGGGGTGTATTGACTGTGGTGACTGTGGGTGTCTTGCAAGTCCTCATGGGACTTGCAGTTCCTCAACACCTGGAGGGCCGTAGTTTGGACACCCCTGATTTATGCTATTAGTCAGATGTTTTTATTAAACTTTAAAGTGACAAACTGCAAGAAAAAAAAAAATGGGCCCCTGCAAGTTTTGGTTATAATCTACTAGTAATCATTGCATATTAGTACATTATGACAGACATACCTTTACATGGAGCCCTCCAGCACAGCGCTGTCATTGCTTTCCTGGTGCTGTCATCTTCCCAGCGATATGAATGGCCAGAGTTGCAATGATGTCACTCCCATGAAAGTGCTCAGGAGCGCTTGGCTATGAAGGGTCCAGTACAATATGCCGTCCAGTGACGTCACTGGCTGCATGTTATGTGAATATCTCCTAAACAGTGCAAGTTTAGGAGATGTTCACTGTACCTACAAGTAAACCTTTAATAGAGGCTTACCTTGTAGGTACAAGTTCTAAAGTGAACTTCCACTTTAAGCAGCTCAAGTCGAGTGAAAATCCTGAAATGGTATTAATGGTAAGTGTAGCAATTAATAATTTACAGCTTTTCTGCAGCTATAAGTCATAAGCCTTGCAACTGAAGCCAACGGATACTGTGGGTGTTCCAAATGTTGATTACTTACAAACTCCCTGCTTGTTTGGAAGCAGTGTCAGAATAAACTGTTATTGCATCTTCTGAAGTATTATTTGGATGATATTGCACATTGTTGCCGTAATGGTGAGGCAATTAAAACAAGACAGGCTATTCTACAACCCAAATTCCAAATAAGTTGGGATTCTATGTAAAATCTACATAATAACTTAATGCAATGACTTGCAAATCTCATAAACCCATATTTTATTCACAAGTAAACATATCAAATGTTTAAACTGGAGAAAATGTACCATTTAGAAATAATAAACCAATAAGGTAATTTTAAAATTGATGGCAACAAAATGTCTTAAAAAAAAAAAAACGTTGGGACAGTACCACCAAAAGCCGGAAGAACATTTTGCAAATCATTAGCTTAACCACTGAAAGTCTGAACACTTTCACGCTTTTCCAGTCAAGGCCCATTTTCAGCTTTCAGCACTTTGTATGACATTGCGCGGTCATGCAACACTGTACCCAGATTACATTTTTATAATTTTTTTTCACTCAAATAGAGCTTTCTGTTGGTGGTATCTGTCATGTCTCACATGACTGTCGTATGCCTTTAAGTGTTCTTTGTATTTTGTCTCTGCTCCTCCCTTTCCTTTGGTTTAGTTCTTGCTGTATAGATAGCTCACCCCTTTTCCCAGTAATGCCTTTCAGCTTCTAGCCTCATGTTATGAAGCAGATCACATTAGGATCTTTTGACCTCTTTGATGTTCATTGTGGTAAGATTTTCTCAGTTTATGGAATAAACTTCACAAGATCTACGAGGTGTCATCTGTGTCAAGTCACTGCTTGTGTTGTTCAACTAAGATTGGAGTTATTGCTATCTCATCACAACTGTAAGTTACAGAGATCACACTTTCAATGCTTAGATTGGAGAGACAAGCAGTATCGCCACTTTTGTTTTTCTATTTTTTTGCTATATAAATGAAAGAAATACTGAAAATTAAAAAAAAAAAAAAACATTCTTTGTTTAGTTTTTGTTATAAAATTGTATAACAAGTAAATAATCTTCATAAATTTAGATTAAAATGTAGTATTTTACCTTTTTTGGGTATTAACCCAAAACCGTACAAACTTTGGGATATATATCTGAAAATGCAGCTTTTCACAAATTGTGTACCTCTGCCCATCTTTACTTCTTTGACACTCTGCTTTTATAAGATGTTCTTTTTATACCTTGTCATGTCACTGAGCTGTTGCCAATTAACTGCTTCCCGTTCGCCCATTGCCTATAGACAGCAGACAGGAAGCAGCGCCGATGCAGGCTAATGTACCTGTACATCAGCCGACATTGGAGGTTCCTGTGTGGCTCACAGACCGCGCACCCAAAAGCCGGTGATCCGTGTGTCACCTGGACACAGCAAATCACTACTGCTGTGTCTGGGTGGTCACATGGTATTTTACCATGTGATTGCTGTGTCCAATCAGAGCAATCACATAATAAACAATACTTAGTGAAAGTAAAGATCTGTTCTCTACCATTTCAGAATAATGTTCCTCCACGTAAATTTGCAAAGACTTTGAATATATCATAATCTGCAGTATATAATATCAAATGATTTAAAGAATCTGGATAAATCTCTGCACAAGGGACAAGGCTGAAACTTAATATTGGAAGGCTGTGATTTTTGGGCTCTCAGGTGACACTGCATTAAAAACCGGCATGATTTAGTGATGGACTTCACTGCATGGACTCAGAAATACTTTCAAAAATCACTGAACTGTTTACAGTGCCATCCAAAAATGCAAGTTAAAGCTCTTTCGTGGAAAGAAGAAGCCATATCTGAACATGATCATGAAAAACTCATCTTCTCTAGGCCAAACCTCATTTAAAATGATGCGTTGCAAAGTAGAAAGCTGTTCTGTGGTCAGATAAATCGAAATTTGACAATCGTTTTGGCAAACATGGGTGTCTTACAAGACATTCCCTTTGAATCTCCCACCACGAATCAGATCACTGGGCCTCCCACTACTTCCATATATTTTACCTTCGTCTATATGGTATAACTCCTCCATCTTGTTTATATAATAAACCCTTTCTAACCAGTCCCTCGTTGGGGGCTCCTGTACCTGCCAGAATTTGGAAATAAGCCCTTTATCCGCACTAATTAGATGGTATAATACACTATTTTTATACTGCTTCACTGGTACATCTGACCTATAAAATAAAAACACCCACGAATCTTTCTGTATAGTTGTCCCCAGTATCTCTCTTTTATAAATTGGATTATATGTTGCCAAAACCCCTGTATTTTTGGACAGTCCCACCTTATATGTGCCATTGTTCTCTTAGCTCCACATTCCCTTCAACAGAGCGGTGAAACTTCTACTCGTCTATGTGCAACACTTGGTGTCAAATACCATCTTGCTAAACATTTGTAATTCATTTCGACCGTGTTCATATTCATCACCCCATGTGTTAATTTAAACATTTTATTTTTCTATGATTCATTCATTTTTGTTCCCATTTCTCTTAACAGTGGAGGACCCGCTCCCTCAATTCCGTAAGAATTCTATATATCCCAGAAGTGCCATGTTTTGGAGCCATATTAGAACCCAACATATTTTTGAACGTGAGCATGTCCTCCACCAACCTCAGGGGTTGAGGCAACTTTGAAACAAAATGTCTTCGTTGATAACATCTCAATTTATCTAATGCCACAAATATCTTTTTTACTCTTTAAATAAGCACATTTGTGAGGTCAGGCACTGATGTCGGACGAGAAAGCCTTGCTCATAGTCTCTTCTCTAATTTATCCCAAAGGTGTTCTATCGGGTTGAGGTCAGGACTGTGTGCAGGCCAGTCGAGTTCCTCCACCCCAAACTCTCTCATCCATACCTTTATGGATCTTGCTTTGTGCACTGGTGCGTAGTCATGTTGGAACAGGAAGGAGCCATCCCCAAACTGTTCCCAGAAAGTTGGGAGCATGAAATTGTACAAAATGTCTTGGTATGCTGATGCCCTAAGAGTTCCGCTGGTACTAAAGGGCCAAGCCCAACCCCCTGAAAAACAACCCCACACCCTAATCCCCCCTCCACCAAAATATACACTTGGCACAACGCAGTCAAGTAAGTATTGACCTGGCAGCCGCACAAACCAAACACGTCCATTGGATTGCCAGACAGAGAAGCGTGATTGGTCACTCCAGAGAACACATCTCCACTGCTCTAGATGTGTGCTTCACACCACTGCTCTAGATGTGTGCTTCACACCACTGCATCTGACGTTTTGTATTACACTTGATGATGTAAGGCTTGGATGCAGTTTTTCTGCCATGGAAACCCATTCCATGAAGCTCTCTACACACTGTTGTGTTAATCTGAAGGCCACACAAAGTTTGGAGGTCTTTAGCTATTGACTGTGCAGACAGTTAACGACTTCACCAATGCGCTGACCCCACTCTGTCATTTTACATGGCCTATCACTTCTTGGCTGAGTTTCTGTTGTTCCCAGTTGCTTCCACTTTGTTATAATACCATTAACAGTTGACCATGAAATATTTTGTACCAAGAAAATTTTACGGATGGACTTATTGTGCAGGTGGCAACCTATCATGGTACCACGCTTGAATTCACTGAGCTGTGAGCGACCCATTCTTTCACAAATGTTTGTAGAAGCAGTCTGCATGCCTAGTTGCTTGAATTTATACACCTGTGGCAATGGAGGTGATTGGAACACCTGAACCCAATGATTTTGAGGGGTGTCCCAATACTTTGGTAATATAGTGTATATCCAGATTTTAGAGCAGCATATGCTTCCATCCAGATGACATCTTTTCTCTTACGTTCATTGACCAACACAGCCTCATCTTCTATATCCATGACTATATAGGGTTTTATAGCCCCATCTACTGGAGTAGGACATTAGGCAGAAAAAAAGATTGGCACTTCCTATTGGCAGTTCTGTCTGGCCATAAAACCCCCTCTCTGCTATAGGCCTCCAGTCATTTTAGTGTCTTCAGTATGGACATATTTTTTCCTGGGTCCCATGGCTTTTTCCTTTTTATTGTTGGAATTTACCTTTTTCCTGCGGAGATCTTCTATCAACAGTCAGGCTGGGCAATCCAGATTCAGTGGTCAACCCAGTTGTGACCACACAAACTGTTAGCTCCGCGCTCAGTTGGCCATGGCAAAGGCCCATCCATGACCAGGGGGGCAAGTGTGTTAAACGCCTGGGTGCCTATAGTCTGTGTCAAGTGTATTGTCCTGGCCAACAGCCCCCCCCCCCCCCCCCCCCACTTCGGTGGAGAGGAGGCTCTGTCATATGAACCTTACCCTCATAATCGGTAAGTAGATGTCCCATCTTCCTTCCCCAAAATTGGTGTGGGTGCGAGTACTCCCGGGGGTGGTTGTTTTCTGTGGGGTTCTTCCCCCACCCACCAACCTGGTAATGGTGTACCTCCCCTCTCCCTCCGGGACGTGGGGCTTGCCCGCTATGAAGGGTGTTGCCTATCCTATTTGGGCCCCTTGATGTGCACACTAACCTGGTCCATTCGGTGTTGGTCTGCAGGTGCAGGGGTGACGAGTTTTTGCCTGAGCCTCCCATTATGGCTATCAATGGGTAGATGTCCTGTGATGGGGGGCATGAGGTGTGGGCTTGCTCTGGTGCCTCTCTTCAGTTTTTGTACACTGACCACCATTGTGCCAGTTTATGCTGATCTGGATCACTTCCCTGACGTGATGGGCCTTTTGGGGGCTACAGTCTGGTGCTAGGTCATCCCCTGGGTCTGCTTGTGGGTAGGAGTGCACCACACGATTAGGCCTTCTGTAGGTTTAGGCCATGACTTACTGGGCGGGCTCCGGTGCCTGCCATCTTGATTGTGGACAGGTGCCCTCCCTGGCACTGATGTCAGCTACTCACTGTGAGGTGGGGGGCGGGCTCTGAGCTTACTGAGTGCACCTGCCTCGTCCTGGTGTTGGCCACTAGTGGAGGGCTGCTGTGGCAGCCATCTCTAATTTATCTTGGCTGTTAGCCATTTTACGTAGGATACCTATTCTGGTTCCCTCTCCAGAAAAAAAAAAAACAGTGAAGGTCACTCGTTCAGGACATTGCTACGTTGCAGACTGCTGCCCAGGCAGATGGGCAGCGGTAGTGGGGTTGGTGTAGGGCTGAACCATATTGCCTAGAGCATCAGTCCTAATAACCCTTTCCCTGGTGGCTTCAGGATCAGGCTAAGAGGGGAGCTGGCTTCCACTCTGGACTAGTGTAGAAAAAAATTGTTTGTCTGGGCCATCTTGGCTCAAGCAAACTAGTTAAAAGGACAGTAATCCTGGAGATCAGATTTCAATGTGTAGGTCTGCCCTTCACAGAAATTGCAATGAAAAACAAGATGATAGATGTATAAGTACAGTACCTGGAAGAGTAATCAGTGGTTATGCAGATGGAAATTAATTTTTGTATTCTCATTTCTAAGTTTTACATTTATTTGTTGTATCCAGTTGTGTTTTAATTAGTTTTCCCATTTTTGAGAGGTGAGATTTTGCCTTCCTCCTTGGTCAGAAGTGAGTTAAAATGGATGAAAACGTCACTTTCGGTTGTGGCTATATAAGGGCTCTATGACAGCTGGGTTCCCGCTTACTGTGGAAGCCCAATCACGGGGCATAACACGTGTAGGTGGGAGGAGGCTATCCCATAACATAATTTTGGAGGCCATCCAGGAGAGCGGTGCTAATAAATAGTTTCAAAATACCACTAGGGTTCTACTTTTCTGTTTTCCATAATACATGATGGATGAGAGCTTCAGTGAGAGGAATTACATAGCAATACCAAGGAGAAGATCGGAGAAAGATCACACTGGGTGTGCATACACTATGATGTAACAAGCATATTTAGACCTGTTTATGAGGTCTAAAAGTGAGGTGAGAAGGTTTTTCACCTAGTTAGTGGAAGCACGTTTTGGCACAAGATGAAGACAGAAGACTAAATTGAAGTTACATTTTGCATAGTGGTGTTTTTACATTAGGAGACTTTGTTGGGACTTTTTTCTTTTTCATAATATAGTATTATTGCGCTACACTATATTTACTTATTTATTTTCATTAGGTGTGGTGAAATCACTGACAGATTGTTTTTAGCAAGCAATATTTTTACTGGTATTGATTTATAAGTTCATTAAGTTTGCGCTGATTTAACTGGGTTTGAAGATGTCAGTATGCTCTCAGTACACTATCAAAGGGCATTTGGAAGCTGAAAGAAATTCGATAGGGACAGGTCTGGCAAGCTCAAAGCCACAACAGAACCACAAGATATATTTCTGAGAGTCCGCAACTTGCATGACAGGTTTCTGATATTCAGCAGCTTCAAACATAGCGTAACATTGGTTGAAGTAAGCAAGTGTCAATTTGCTTCACCTGTGACAGGTTAAGTGGCTGTTAAAAAGCCACTATGAAAATGGTAAAATAAGAAAGATTTGCCTCGACCAGGAACCACAGCGAGTGGAATGGGAGTTTTTTTTTTTTTTTTATGGACTGAAGTCAAAATCACATCACATACGGGTTTTTGTATGTCATCAAGTAGAACAATAGCTCCCCAGTGTGTGATACAAATCAACCAAGGAGGGAGTGTGATGGACCTCTCCTTTTCTGGATGCAGAGTTGGTGACTTTCACAGACCAATTAGCACCCTGAACCAAATGGTCTACCACAGCATTTTACAGAGCCATACAATACCCTTTTGGTCAGGGGTTCATCCTACAGTAAGATAGTTATCCAAAACATACCTCCTGGCTGTCTCGGAACAACCTTTAGGCTCCTTTCACACTGGCGTCATCCATTCAGTAACATTTTTTTAAAGAAAGGATGGATTCAGTTCTCTTTTTACATCAGTGTTCAGTTCAGTTTCCATCCTTTTTTTAGTTGTTGCAGAAACCAATCAGAGGTGACAATTATATAGACAAATAGTTCATGCCTAAAAATGGATGTAAAAAAAAGCATGTAAACGGATAACATTCGTTTCACTTTAACGATCTGGATGTTGCCTGTTCCATTTTAAAAAAACAACTGAATGGACACAGATGTAAACAGATGATCATCTGTATGCATCTCTTGACAGACAGAAAACAGACAGAACGCCCATCTGAAAGGGGCCTTAGAGGAAAAGAACAAGATTGTAGGCTCCATATCATAGAAAAGGTGGTTTATTCTGAATAGTTTTATTATATATAGTAGTGGGCGCTCTGGTACGTTTGTGATTATGGTGAAAACTACTTTTGCAAGTTTTTTGGGGGGGCTTTAATCTACATCTATCCCCACTGATGTTGGACTTTTGCGGCCCTGAGTGAATAAAAGTATAGAAGCACCAAATATAAACATTTTGAAGAAAATATGCTTAAAATGTATGTCTGTCTAAAATACTTTTGGGGTAGCTTAACATGCCTGCTCCTTCTAGGCTTATAAGTTTTGAACTCTTATTGCAATCAGGAAAGCAGTCTTGTGTTTGGTGCACACTGCAAAACTTATTAGCCTTAAAGAAGAATGGACCATGTTAACCACTTCCAGGCCGGACACTTTTACCCCCTCCTGACCAGGGCAATTTTCAGCTTTCAAAGCTATCACGCTTTGAATGACAATTGCGCGGTCATGCAACACTGTACCCAAATGAATTTTTTACCATTTTTTTGAGACAGATAAAGCTTTATTTTTGCGGTATTTATTCACCGCTAGGATTTTTATTTTTTATTTTTGAAAAAAAAAGTGTTTTTTTAAATAAAATTTTGCAAATAAATAATATTTCATCATAAATCTTTGCCAAAATTTATTCCATTATCTTTTTAGTAAAAAAAAAAAAAAATCCAAATTAGTTTGTAACCAAAAATTATAATTTTTAAACATTTTTTTTTACATTTTTATTTTTTTTAATATTATTTTTTGTTTTATTTATTTTTTTTTTTTACATACTGTCACCCTAGCAGTACAGTGTCACCATGGTGACACTGTACTACTTGTGGGGGGTGATGAAGATTTTTTTTTTTTACACATTGCTTTTACACCCATATAGGATGTAAAAGCAATCATTTCTCTTTCTCTCTGTGTGCATTCTTGCACTCATTGAGAAGTACTGAGTGAGCTGTGATTGGTCACAGCTTGTCACATGGTACAAGGCTGTTGTGAATAGCCTTGTACCATGTGACCTCTGTGATCATTCACAGATTTCACATGTAGTAAGCAATGATGTCACAAGTGACATCTTGCTTACTACTTTGCATGTGATCACTGATTGGCCAATCAGTGATCACATGATCGGGACCTCGTACAGAGGTCCCGTCCGACGATCGGTGTTTCACTGTGTCCGGAGGACACAGCGGGCACCGGATCGCGGTGCTGCGCGCTCCCAGGGAGCGCGCACAAGCAGGGTGTGGGGAGGCCGTTTGTAAACGGCCACCCAACCCTGCACTGCCACCGTCTGGCCGTTTATATGCAACGGCCGGTCGGGAAGTGGTTAAGACCCCTAAACACATTAGTATTTTGGCATTTATGTTGATGGCATGGTAATTCTCCCTCACCTCAGATATAATGCATAACTTTACCCATTACAATGTGATAAAAAAAATCAAGGAACATACAGTACATTCTACATTAATAATGCTACCAAAGTTAGTGTGTGCTGTAAATTGCCTTCAGCAATGTTCC